CGGTGCAAAAATAAGTGCATACAGCACCTGAAAGAACACAAACACACAGCACTCATTAAGGGGAAGATAATAAAATGGATGGTCTAACTGTGCTGAGAGCTATTTGTGTCTCCTTAACTACTGATTATTAAGGGTTTTAATGTTAAGCAGTGCATCTGTTCTATTATCTCACTGCTAAGTCAACTATAGATGAGTTTAGAAAAAGTTGCGGATGGAAGACATTTACTTTCTGTATTTGAGTCCAAATAATGACTTGGCATGGTGAATATGAGGCAAAAAGGAAGCATGACATTTAATCAAACTATTTATGTCATGTCATCTTTTGATTATTTTCTTAACTGTTTGGCCTGTAAAATATCATATAATGGTGTAAAATGCAATTTCCCAAGTTGATGTCTTCTAATGTCATGTTCTGGCAGTCCACAACCTAAAGATTTTACTATCATAGACAACTATGGAAACCAGCAAATATTAACATTTGAGAAGCTGGAGCCAGATTATTTTGGCATGACTCAAAATTATTAATTGATTATCAAAATTGTTGCTGATTACATTATTGGCAATTGAGTAATTGTTTGTACACTAATGCACGTTTAGCTCACAGTCTTAGCAAGGTGAATTATGAGAAAATAAGCAGCAAAATTTGTAACTAGTAGTTGGGAGAGCAAAAGTCCGAGCCGCAGCTCACAATACATTGACTTAAATATCCCTGTGACCCCAGAGTGTAGACCGCAGAAAGAGGAACAGGATCCAGTTAAAATAAACAACAGCAATTATCTATGACAGGAAACTGAACAAAACAAAATGGCTCATAAGATGGCAGGTTTCTTTTTATCCTCATGTGTGGTGGATATTAACAGAGAAAGTAGAAAAGGTTGGAAAGTGGATGTAATTCACAGGGGAGAGTGAGTTTAGTATGTCATTAAGAGGTATCTTCTTATAGAAGACAAAGAAGGAGGTGACTCTGCTGTCCTATTTTGTAGTTTCAGAACAAAACAATTAATTTAAATCAAAATTTCTATTCTTGTACTGTTCTCATGTGTCATTGCACAACCTACGTGATTCCTTGCTGTCCTCTCTGTGATCACTGCAGACGTTTTTAAATCAGGGCCGTTTTATAGCTGTTCTGCACATTGGGGTCCAAACTACACTTGTAAATGGCTAACAAGTGAGGCTGACTGACAGACAGGGAGTTAGATAGATGGATGCTGGCAAACAAAGATGGCCTTGAGCTTTATGAAAGCTTCCCATCCTTTCATCACTCTGTTCAACACAAGATCCACTCAGTCGTGCAACCGCCCCATGACTAGCAGCTCCTGTTGTTCTGCTGCACGCTTCCTAATGTGCCATATAAACCCTCCTAATGAGGTGTTTATATGATGGCTTACAACAATGTCGAAATGGTAGTTGAAAACGTAATAGCTGTCCATTGCTGCTACATGCATCCTTTAAAAAATCCAGGCCTAAATCTTTCTGTAATCAGTTTATACATAGCTGTTTAATATGATTATTTTATGGTGCGTATGCTAATTCGCTCCACTTTTTCAATTTCAAAAACAGAACCCCCTGCTGTATGAATAAGATATATACAAGCTATATACATATGTATTGATCTGTATCGACCTTATAGCAAACGCTTAAAGGATGCAAATGAAAGACAGATGATAGAAAAAGAGGGAGAGACCTTGAGGAGGAAACACAAAAGCATGAACGGTTAGAATCCGCACTCAGGGGTCTTGGACAAAGTGGGATTTACTCAAGAAGAAAATAACGGAGGTGGCGCTGTGGCGATGGGAGCCTCATTCCTTTTACAGTCAGTATTCTACTCTCTCATCTTGCCGGCACAACTGCACACATGGGATCTGAGGGAGGACCCAGCTGCAAGTGACACATTATCACGCATTCTGAGAGTGTGCAAGACCATTGTAATTCAAGGTCAATTGTAGGTGCCGATACACTCAATGTGTTTTGCTGTCACTTCAGTGAAAGGCAGAAAAAGGTGACCAATTTAGAAAGACGCATGTAGAGCAGTCCGCTTTACTTCACAGGGGAGTATATTCACTTTAATATATACCGCCAATTCATAATAGAAGTTGTAACATTGCATTTTTCCATGTAGAACTGGTCTAGACTGTACTTTTTGTAAAATTATTTACACAGACCCAACAATGCCCACGATGAGCAAGCGCTTGGTGACAGTGGCAAGGAAGATGTGAAAGAAAGACGTAGAGAGAGAGAGAGAGCACAGGAGGAGAGGAGAACACACATTAGCCCAACACAGATGTAAAGTTATAGCAGTGGTAGTGGTAATAATATATATGAAAACGAATAATAATAGTGTTATAAATTATAATAATAATAGTAGAACTAAAATTGTGATTTTAGCAGCGGGTCTCCACAAGAGAGAGAGAAACACCTGCAGAAAGGGATAGAAGAAGAGAGGAGAGGGACGAGAAAGCACAAAACTGCAGGAGAGAGAAGAAGTCGAGTTAGTAACATGGATTAATGGGATAAAATTGCATATAGATGAATGGGGATTGGAGAAAAGAGGAGCTCAGTGCATCATGGGAAGTCTAGGTCTACGATAGTTCAGGACTCACCTGAGCCAGCCCTAACTATAAGCCGTATCAAAGAGGAAAGTCTTAAGCCTGCGCTTAAATGTGGAGATGATGTCTGCCTCCTGAACCCAAACTGGGACCTGATTCCACAGGAGAGGCGCTTGACAGCTGAAGGCTTTGGCTTTCTGCTTTTGAAGACTAGGAACCACAAGTAACCCTGCATTTTCACTGTTCCAGTGGTGTAATAAGGTACTATAAGCTCTTTAAGATCTGATGGCATCTGACCATTAGGGGCTCTGTAGGTGAGCAGAAGGATTTTAAATTGTATTCTGGATTTTACAGGGAGCCAGTGCAGAGAAGCTAAAACAGGAGAAATATGATCTTTTTTCCTGGTTATTGTCAGTGCATGTGCTGCAGCATTCTGGATCAACTGGAGAGTCTTAAGGGACTTATTCGGGCAGCCTGATAATAAGGAACCAAGAGGACAAAATCCATCCTACTACAACCGGGTCACAGATCATGAGATAAGAGGCTCCATTTTGGAAGGAATCTCCAATTTCCACACCGCTCTACGCCTAGACAAAATGTTGTAGTCCACAGTAAATAAGAAAAACTTTCTGGTGGAAATTACAGTCCTGTGGGAGGACGGGTGCCAAGAAGATTGGCGATTCCCCATATAGTTATATTGCAAAGGCTGCCCAGCAGCAGCAATGTGACAATTTATGTCAGCTCTAGACACTGACAGAAAGGGCAAGGAGCCGAGACAGCCTATGGGATGCATTAGGAGTGGGTTAGTGGAGGGTAGCTGGAAGTCACGGGCAAATGGGCAATGATTTGGCCACCACCACTGACCCTAAACTGGAACGTGTTGCGATTGAGCATCAAAACAGATTATGAATGTTGTGTTGTAGACCCCTGTTCTTAACTTAAGACTAATTACCTCATCTGGTAACAGAAAAGAGCGCCAATTAATGTATAAGCTGCAATCATGAATATTATTTAATATGTTAACATCCATTTTTTAAATTCAGACAATGTGCCTGTTCTCCTCCTCTAATTCTCTCTTTCCCTATCCCCTCTGGGGTTCATTTACTGTAAATCATTCAGACTGCCCTTTAGAGAGATCCGCAGGTAAAGTCTTCCTCCCTTGTTTTCATTTCTTCTGTGAAAATATCAGAGCAAGGTCACACTGCAAGTAGCTCTCAGCATTTTAAATGTACTGGGCTACAAGGTGTTCCGTGTGGTTAGTCTTACTGCAGGGGTACTCAGGGTTTGCACGTTGTCAGTCACAAAGAAAGTTAATTTCACATGAATTACTTGACTGTGATAGTCTAAAGTATGTTTTTCACAACGTTGTCTTAAGAAAGTGCTCATCCAAGTCCACCGAGGCTACTGGTTTCTGGGAACCAGCTTTACTTGCTGTGGAGGAAGAAATAGAATATGTTGATGATTTAGTCCCAGTTAAGCAGCACGTTGCAACAAAGGAGAACGGGGTTAACACCAGTATACTCTCTTTCCCCTCTATTGTAGCACCTCAAGATACTAAATAATAGCCACGGTGACAACTTTGGGCCTAATTAGTGGAAAAGGTGAAGTGTTTATCCACACATTCTTGACTTGTTGTAAATATCTGGCTTTAGATTAAAGTTCTTTTCATTTTTAGGAGCTCTAAAGGAAACTTTGAAGGTTTTCATATGGCTATCACACATTTTGTGCAATTCCACATCTATCTAAATATTAAATATTATTAGCATTAATATTATTATTATTATTATTAAATATTTATTTTCTAACATGCACAAACCTGGCACATTGCACATATTGTTGTAAATTGTTAATCGTTGTTAATCTATATTTTATATTGTCAGTTTATATTTTTGTACACAATATTCTCTTCCAGGAGAATAACAGGAGCGCAGGGGCGTTTTTATAAATGCCTTTTTAAGAAGTAATCTGTATGATTTAATGGGGAAGGAGTCTATGGGAACCCGAGTTGTAATTAAATAACTTGTTAGGTGTGTGTGTGTGATTACCTTTGATTTGGCTGATTTCTTTGGGAAAGCCTGTTTTATGAAGACTTCCCTTCTCTATAGTTTTTTGGGAAGTTCATATAAACACACTGGCGACCTGTCCAGGGTGTACCCCGCCTTTCGCCCAATGCCAGCTGGGATTGGCTCCAGCCCCCCGCGACCCTGTACGCAGGATAAGCGGTTGACGATGGATGGATGGATGATACAAACACAATCTGTGCTGGTGGTGCAGAACCCCGCCCCCGGGGGCTCATAACTTGGAAAGAAAGAAAGAAAAAGCAAAAAATGATCGACAGTGAAACAAATGAATTTAAAACATTTGAGAATAGTGGATATCGACAGAACGTAAAAATGTAAATAACAAATTAAGTAAATTGTTTATGTTATCCTGATGGTTTTCTTGTTTTCCCAGAATGCTGAGGTGTCTGTGTTTGAGGTCAACATTCGTTTCATAGGAGGACTGCTGGCCGCCTACTACCTCTCTGGACAGGAAGTAAGTACTTACCTGTATGTGTATGTTTGTGAGATTGTGAGTGGGAAGTGTTTTGTAGTTGGCAGCAACAGGATGAACTGAATGAATCAGTTGTTGGGCCTAAAGAGCCCGGAGAAGGCACAAGGGGTCGGATTAAGGAAGCAAAAAGAGTGATGCAGAAATAACGGGGGTTGGGGATTGCTCTGTGGTTTTTATTACCCGAACAGTAGGTGTAGAAGGACGAGGGGATAAAGGAAGAGAAGCAATACGGCTTTTTGTTCATGTTTTTTGTTGTGTTTTTCTTCCACCTGTGTTTTTCTTCCCTCTCCCATCAGTTCTTTTGGTTCTTCCTTAAGGAGCTAGTGGAAGTTAAATCCGGCCATGTATCTCTTTTTCTATTCTATTTCCCTCTCTCTGTCCATCCCATGCACGCCAGCTTTCACACCCAGCCAAGCAGTGCTCTCTCTGTAATGGGAGGAAATACATCAAATACATGTTCATTACAAAGTCCACATTCACTGTGCTCTCTATTATAGTTGTACGTGGTTTCTGCCACTACTGGCCAACAGATCTTTGAGGAAAATCTTTGTTTTTATTTTACCTAATATACAGCATGAAAACACATTAATTGATTTTCATTATCAGTTCTATGAAGCCTGATCCATTTCCTATCCTTTGTGTCTTTATTCTGGGTACCACAGCTGTCAAAGATGCCACATGGTACACCCTTAAAATACTGAAACCATCCAGTGTTGTGAGCGAGTGAACAGCTAATATATTGCGGTGTGAACAGAATAAACAGCTGTGTCGATTACGGCTGCCCCCTAAAAGCCGATGATTCGAGTCCTCAGTCGAGAAGACCATTATTCTTCTGCTCTAAATATATAGTTTGTCAAATATATGATCAATTTATTTGGACATGGATAGCCCTCATCCACTTCAAATCACCCAATTCACTTTAATTTCTGCAGAATTCATAGGTACACTATTTTCTTGCCAGCCATGATTTATTAGACAAAAATCTAATTAGAAATTGCAGAGTTGAACAGCGTTCAAGTGGAGAAAAAAAAATTGTCTTGAGAAATAAATAATGATGGAGGCTTGGCACAATGCTCTAAAGTAGATTTACATTTTTCTTCTTCACAGATGTATAGCCATTCAGGATTTTTCCTGACAAAAAGGAGAGAACAAATAATCAGTAAAAGCTGATCTAATCACCTACAAAACAAAAAGCATTTCCTCCCACGAGTAATGCCCTTAACATTACAAAAGGTTGTGGGTTGGCGTTTTAAAACTGATGGAACAGAGATTTTCTCTTAATAACAACATAAGCTAAAGTGCCTTACATGCTAAACTTAATGTCACCTATTCTCCACTCTTCCCTCCCATTCCTTTACTCAATTCCACCTCCTCTCCCCAAATCATTCATCAGAGCACACTCGAGCAATAATAGAAGCAGTGGGTGGTGGGAAAGAAGGGAGATGGAGCATGGGAGGGTTCAGGGGAGAGACAGTGATGGAGGAGAGGGTGGAGGAACAACTGCGACGGGACAGTGAGTATGAGGGGAGGGCGTGTGTGAAGGTGGTGGTTACAGATAAAGAGATGGGAGTGGAGAATGAAGATGATAAATGGCCGAGGAGGGAGAAAAAGCTAGTGAGACTCATTCTTTACTCTCACTGGACATGTCCTTGAGCAAGGCACTTAACCCCTCAACTGTTCCTGTCAACCAGCAGCAGAATAAATGGTGGTTACTGGGCAGCCCCCTGGGGGAAATTGTGTGTAAACGTGTGAATATGAAGCAGTGCCCACTTTTAATAGAGATTTTTTAAAAAACACTTGAGAAGAGAGATCATGTGGAGACTAGAGCAGGGGGTGAATTGCAGGTTAAGGGTTTTTTCAGATTTTATCAGCGTCTCTTCCCAATTGTATGTTAGCGTCTTGATGGGGATGAATGGTAGAGAAAACAAGAGAAGATGCAGTGTTAAATTAGGACATTACTACCCAAGGAGTTTAATAGGGAACAGGAAACAGAGAATGAAAGGGAAATAAAAAAGAGGGAAGTGAAACAGGTTAAAACGGAAGAGAGATTGAGGTATAGAAAATCAGAATTAAACTGATGTATATATAAATGAGACTGAGGGTAAAAGGAGAGGGAATAGAATAAAAGTAAATACAAAAAAAAAAACATAAGAGAGCAAGATGGAAAAAAAGACAAAACCACACAGACGGAAAGATTAATGGAGGTACTTTTATATATGTGTTGGTCGCTGAGCCCAAACAGATAATCAAGCATAACTACAGCAAGATAACCACAACATCATCTAGGGATTGTAGCTCTCAAATTGAATTGACCTGTTTCTTTTAAAAAAATAGCTCTGCTTGCCTTCCCATCTACATTTTTCAGTAACAAACAGAAACATGCACACTGGAGCGGCGTGTAGATCATTAAACTGTTGATCATCGTGTTTGTTTTTGTGTGACTTTTGTGACATTAGTTGAGGCAGGACCCAAACCACAATAAGGGCTGATATTTACATGCACAAATACAGATGTGGTATACTCCCAAAACTTAATAATACCATGGATTTCATTGTGCCTTTAAATGAACTCCGATGTAGCCATGGAGAGTCACTGTAACATACAACACCTGTACCGAAGCTTGTACTCCAGGTCTCTCGTCGTGACGTTTGTCATATTGTTATAAATAGTACTTTGAACAAAGTACAGCTCATAATATACTTGAAGGATCCGTCTTCAGTCTCTCCATTTCTTTTTTAAATATAGTTTATCAGCTGTAATAAACACAGATACCCGTTTATCTGCAATTAGCTTTATATTGAAGTGAACTAGGAAATGATAGTTTTGAATGTAGGACCAGTTTCAGTCATTTTTATCAGATTTCCTTTCTGTAGCAGAGTTAAACAACAGAAGCAAGCTCTTTATGAAAACTTAAAAGAAAATGAGTCCATGCACCAGCGAGTTGCCAGGCTCGTCAGCTTAGGCACACATTTTCAGACCTACAAATGCCTCGAGTAGAAAGCTGCTCTAAATGACAAAGCAATGGAAGTAATAAAAGATGTTGCTTTCCAAGGCAAGGTACACTGACTGACTCATTTATGATGAATAAAGCCAAGGACAACTTCATCTGATGAGGTTTTCTAGTCATTTGATGTTGTTTTCCTATGTCAATCAGAATCAACAGTCTTAAAAACACGAGCATTCAGAATGAAAAGAGAGAAATAAAGAGGAAGAGAGAGGTGAAGGGAAATACAGACAAACATGGATGAACGAAGAGAGGTACTGTGATTCAGAGAAAAAGAAGAGTTGGGGATCAGCATTCAGGAGGAGGAGGTGTTAGTCTGAGAGAGCCGAGGCAGAGCAGCAGTGATGGATTGTGTTTACTCCTCCGTGTGTCCCCAGCTTTATTCTTTTAGTCTCACATTCTGTTTCTACCTCTTTCTTGGATGTCCTCACCACCTTCTCCACTCTGTTTCCACACGTTGTCTTCTGTTTTGCACTCCTGGCCGATTTCTAATCCTAATTGGATCATCTCCTTTTTTCTTCCTCTCATCTTCATGCTGCTAATTCTCTTCTCTATTCTACTTTTATTTCTTATTATTTTCTCTCCCTATGTCTTCTCAACATTTTCATCTTGTCCTCTCAGCTTCAGCTTCACTGAGCTTTTTGTTTTTAATCTGTCTTCCATCTTATTCCTCTGCTCCTTTGTGTTCTTCTATCTTTTTATTTTTCTATTGTGCTTACTCCTCATTCTTTTCCCTTTTTGCATTTGTTCTTCATGTTTATTTTCCTTTGTCCTAATTACCCTTCTCTTCATGATTTTTTCCCCCTTTCCTGTGTTTTCCTTCCTTACTTTTAGTTTCCTCACTCTTGGTCTGCTTCCTCTTTTTTTCTCGTCTATATCTAAAGCGTTTTAGACGGTAATCTATATTCCTTACCTGTTTCTTTGATCCATCTCTTTCTCAGATTTCTGTCTTTTGTCCTCTACACTCCACACATTATCTTTCTACTCTTCTCTCTTAATTGCTGCAGTTAGTTCTTATCCTCCTTTTTTCTAAATTGTCACTCTTCTCTAACTTTTCCTTTTACCTCCTGCTCTCATCTGTTGTCCTTGTCTTTCACTTCCTCTTAATGTCCCTCTCCCTAAATTCTACTTTCCACTTATCCCTCTTTTCTTTATCTCATCTCTCATTACATCCCTGCTCTCGCACCTTTTAATCCTTTACCCATCTTAAACATATAAACAGTAATCTGCTTTCTTCTCTCTTCATCCCTTCTTACTTTCCCACCAGTCTTTTCTCCAGCTTCTCCTCTCAGCTCTCCTGCTTAGACCTCCCTTTTTCCCTTGAACTCTATTACTGCTTGTCTTTTTTCCTCCTCCACGTTTGAATCTCATCTCATCTCTGGACTTTCTTTACAACCCCCCGATGAACAGGGTAATTTTGGGTGTTGTTTCTGATTAGTAACTTCTGGGATGGACAAGTGTTGAGTTAGAGCTTGTTGAGAGTAAAACAAATTATTAATGGCTTGAAGACAATTGAAATGTAGACAACATTTTAGTCAGGGATTCTGAAAAAACTGTGTGAGTGTATGTATAACAGTTTAAAGAAGTTAAAATATTAGAATAGCAACCTTGTATTTCCTCTACGATTGACTTTTCAAATATGGAAAAAGAATATAAGTGTTGTATTCTTCGTTCACATATTGCATGTCTCTATGGATAATGTAAATATAAACTTGGAGAGCTCAGGTTCATGAAAGAGCAGAAAAAGTTTAACTTCTAACTTTGACAATTTTGGGCTTTCCAGTACTATATTTGGAGGAATTTGTGATGATTAATCACACCTTTGTTTTGTGGAGCTCGTTAGTCCTCCATTCACTTTCAAAGCAGAGAGAACTTGAGGATAATATATTCCTCTAAAGTGTGCAGTGATTGATGAATCTACGAAGTCATCAGCTTCTTTCACTGGCAGGTAGAGAAACTTATTGACAAGAAAGAAAGA